ATGTAAATTCCATATGAATTCCGTGCAAATTCCGTATCCAAACCATATTTTTAGTGATACGGAATTGTGCATTTTTCCGTATCCTATTATGATACGTTATTTCTAAGGAAAAAAATCGTATAAAAACTTTATAAAAAACGTATCCCAATTTTTTTATAGGGCAGATGCTTTCATAAAATTCATTAGATATTGGGAGAAAACCAGGTCAGAGCACCTTAGGATAATGCTTTTATTTCTTATTTCATTTTTTTTAGTTTTTCGATTTCCCTTCTTTCCACCCTTCGGTAGTCTGGGAGGAATTTATTTGGTTACGCAATAAGTTTTCTAGTGGGTTACACACGAGCTTTGCTTACATTGGTGGTATTAGTCTGGACTTATCAAACTTTTTTTCTCAGTAAGACTACAAAAATTCAGCAAAAAAAAGGAAGAAAAAATGTCAATAATGTATGAATTTCTTTTATATCCCAATTTTATTCAAAGTTTACAAGAAAAATTAACTAGGTTTAAAATACTTATAATTACTTAAGTTTTTAACATTATGTTATAATTCAACTTTGCAAGAGCAGGTGTATCACCTGACCAAGAAACTACTGAACATCATAAGGTAAAAGTTTCTTTTTTAAAACCATCATAGCATTCTATACATTCTATAATAAATAAGATTATTATTTAATTAAAATTATAAATATCATTAATAAATAATATACCTTTAAGAGATTTTAATTCATTTTATTAGTATTTATATATAAAAAAGAATTGAGATCAAATGGTGCATTAGGTCCAGGAATAATTACACTAATTAATAAATTACAGTTATAAGCAGTAGAATCGCTTATGAACTAGAATCATTTTTGATGAAGTACATTCACTACTAATGGTATTATCTATTTCTTGATCAACGTCAGTTGTCATTTATAGATTGTTGATTAAAATCTTCATCAAAATCATTGAAATCTCTGTATTGATCAAAATTATTAATTGTTTGTTCAGATTGCTCTTTATCTTTCATTCCATGGCATGTTCTTGTTGCTTTTGAAACTTTTTATATCCATTTGGATATAAACTATAAGATTAACAATTTCATTCTATAAAGTATTTTTTTTCTTTTTCAGTTTTTTATTTAAACTTATATATGCTATACTAGTCAATAGTAAATATAGAAATAAGATATAAAAATTAGGATTTAATAATTGTATAATATTATAAATCATAAATCATTGATGTAATTATTTAGTAATCACTGTTTACTTTGTGAGCATTATTAAACTATTTAAACTTAGCCACATTTTCCCACATTTTTACTCTTTTTATGTTCTCTTTTGTATACAAATGAAAGAATACTGTTTCCATAAAATTTATGTAAAATATATATTATGAAACAAAAAATCCTTCAACAGTTCAACTTATTATCAGATAATGATTCTTCAAACTTTTCTACAGATACTAGAAAAAAATACTTTGACCAAAATTGCAAAACTTGAAAAACAACTTAAACTACTAAAAGAACAAACTTCTAAGGATAACAAAAAACAAAATAGTGAAAAACAAAAGACATTTGAAGCTGTTGAACAATCAGATGAAAAACCCAAACAATCTTCAATTAAAGAAATTTGTAAACATAAGATTAATTGTAAAAAAAACAATTATACCTAGAAAAGAATCTACTGAATGGTCTTCATCCTAGCACCTTTGTAACAATGTAACAAGTAAATAAAAATTTTCCAATACCCTATTCCAAAATATGATAAAGGTTATAATTATTATGAGAATATAGAATGGATATATGGTAAAATATTTAATTTTTTGGTAATTTTTACTTGCATTACACATTAATGCTTTTAAAACATAATACTTTGAAAATATGAAGCAATGAGACATATATATAAAAAACATCTAACTGAAATTGCTAATACTACAATGTATAAGGATATTGATGCAGGCCTTCTTAATAACATGATTGATAAGATTAGCAAAGAGTAAAATTTTTAAATTCTATAGTTGCTATTTAATCTAATATTTCATTCTTCTAGTTTAACAAGAAAAATTATTGATTTCCAAAAACAATTGATAATATGGCTCAAAGAGGGATGATCTGATGATATGTTAATAATTTCAGTAAATATCTTAAAATTTTAAATTTTAAATGAATTGTAACATTAATTCTTTAGTATAAGAGAGAGCAGAAGGAATTCAACTTATGGCAAAATGAAACTAATCTGAGAAAAATTATTAAAGAAATAAATGAATTATATATTAGTTCAAATATAATAACATCTAAACCATGATAATATGTCAAATTCTAAGGATAATAATATGGGTTATAACTCTATAGCAGATACTCCAGAAGATATCACAACAGATTCCCTAGAATATTACGCCATATTCTCAAGAGCTTATTACACCAGTTTCTCCAGAATATACTAATCATGAATAACAGAATGATACTGATACTTGTACATGTTAATTATTTTATTTTTTATAATATTTCCTATTTTGAGCTAACTATACTAATTAATTGTTTTTTGATTTTATAGATATCTAAAGCAGCAGTACAATCAATAATGATAAAAAACAGAGAAAGTATTGAGTAACCAAAATACAACCACAAAGCAAACACAAAATCTCAAGCTGAATAGCTCTAATGGAAGCCATAGTACAAATAAATGTGAGCACTACTACTACTTTGCTAACAATGCTAAATTTTCATAATGCATAGTGTGATCCTTGTACGAGCCTTGTACAAGGTATTTTAAATCTGAAAATATATAGTACAATATTTCTAACAATCCATTTTTAATATTAATTTATTTATAATCAATTGTAAAATATATAATTCTGATACATTTTTCAATGAGTCTTATAATTTTTTACAATGTTTCACAAGATTTTACTTATGTATATATTGTACAAAATATTGTATAATGAATTTCACAATTAATTATTTATAACATAATCTAATTACCATTAATATATACTTTATTTATTTTATGTAAAGTTGGAAGGACTATTCTAAGAGAGCATTAATTACAAGAATTGCGCCCAACATTTAGTCCATCATCTATCCCGAGGGGCAGACCCTAACTAATTATTATATACCATAGACTACTCCAACAACACGACCGATGAAGGAGCAGGTAGAAGGAAAAAAGAAAAAAATAAAGAACTAACTATTATCTACAATAATAAGAAAAAAACTATGGAATTAAAATATCTGATATAAGAATTAGATGTGGCAAAACTAGTATACATTATAAAATAAACAAGCATCTATAGATAAAGGAGAATTATAGGTAATTTCGTCATTCACTTCTAAATGCGTAAAAAAAGGACCACTATGTAAAAAATTAGAAGAAGAAAATAAAATATAAAGAAAATCTTTTGATAATTTAAAATTACGAAAACTGTTAAAGGGATTAATATAATTGAAATCTCGAATGTTTCTTTGTCTGTTTCGTGATGAAGGTTGTGCTGAAGGGTTGTGACGGTATGTTTGATGATAGTCTTTAAAAGATTTTTTAGTTAATCCTAACAGGTCACGTTGAATTTTCCACTTATCGTTCCTTTTTTTCCATATATTCATTTTAAATAAAATACTACATTCATGGATAAAGGGTAATAATAGTTTGATTATGGATTTTAGTGAGTTAAAGTGTGAACGGAATATACCAATGATATCGTTGGTAATAAAAGATTTAAGTAGAAGGATCGCAACAGGATGTAATTCTTCATCACGATTCACGATAGGCCCATCAGAAGGTTTTGGAAAATTTAACGCTATCATCAATCAATAGTAATGATTTTTCGGCGTGCTTGTTAAGAAGGTCTATCAAATTGTTGCCCATTATAATAAAACACTCCTTTATGATTTCTCTGGTACTCTTACACGTCCAGAGGTGGTGATTGCTTTC